CCTCAATATCATCAGCCAAAACAAGGTCAGAGGATAACTGTGAAAACAGACCATATACAAGTTTAGGCTGAAGCTGAAGAAAATGAAAACTAAGTCCACAAGAGCCAAAATATGATCTTGAACATATCCCACATGAGTTTATTAGAGACCATTTCAAGAAAAGACACTAATGAATGAAGATCAGAAAAACTTTAAGATGACATCAAGAGTATCATCCAGTAAGAATGCCAAAGGTCATTAAAATGACAGGAAAGAAAAATAGGACCAAAGTGAATGTCAGAAGAGACTCTAAAAATAGCTCTCCAATGTAGAGATGATTTAACAAAGTGAATGGAAGAAGACAGGTAACCCAACGGAATGCAGAAACTATCAAAAAGTATCAATATCACAGGTAAGAAAAATTTTAAATGTCTGCAAAAATTATATCAACAGGGAGCTGCCAAAAATTCACGCCAAATTCAGAAGAGGACGTGAAACTAGGGATATCCTTGCTGAATTCACATAGAACTTGGCTGAAAGCAGAGAGTACCAGAAAGACGTTTACGATGCAAAGACTCTCAACTGTGTGGCTCATGACAAGCTTTGGATAACACTGAAAGTTTCCAGAAAACTTAACTGTGCTCATGGAGAACCTGTGCATAGACCGAGAGGCCGTCATGTACACAGAACAAGGGGATGGCGGTGTTGTTGTTAGGTGTTGTCAACTTGGTACTGACTCAGAACAACAGACTGCCTGGTCCTGCACCAACTTTACATCTGTTTCCACTGTAGCCCATGGCTGCTGCCACTGCATCTATACACATCATTGGGTCTCCCTCTGCTTCACTTACCAAGCATGACGTTCTTCTCCAGGGATTCTTCCCTCCTGATAACATATCCAAAGCGTGAGAGATGAACTCTGGTCATCCTGGCTTCTAAGGAGCATTCTGGTTACACTTCTTCCAACACAGAGTTGTTTGTTCTTTGGGCAGTCCATGATACTTTTAATATTCTCATCCAACACCATTAATCAAATTCTTCTTGGTCTTTCTTATTCATTGTCCAACTTTCACATGCATACTGGAAGTACCATGGCATGGGTCAGCTGTACCTTAGTCCTCAAACTGACATCTTTGCTCTTGAATACTTCAAAGAGGTCTTGTACAGCACATTTGCATAACTTGCATAACATCTCTTGACTTTTTGAGTACTTTTATGAATGTTGATAGTTGAGCCATGCAAAATGAAGTCTTTGACAACTTCCATCTTTTCTCCATTAATACAGATGTTATTTAGTGGTCCAGTGGTGAGGATTTCTGTTTTCCTTATATTGAGGTGAAACCCATAATGAAGGCTGTGGTCTTTGATCTTCATCAATAAGTACTTTAAGTCTTCTTCAACCTTCAGCAAGCAAGGTTGTATCATCTGCACACTGCAGATTGTTAATGAGTTCTTCCTCCAATCCTGACGCCACATTCATCTTCATATAATGCATCTTCTTGGATTATTTTTTAGCATGCAGATTGAATAAATATAGTGACAGAATACAACCCTGGCAACACACGTTTCCTAATTTTAAACTGTTCAGTGACCCTTGTTCTGTTCAAATGACAGCCTCTTGGTCTATGTACAGGTTCCACCTGGGCATTCATTCTCAGAAAAGCTGCCCATAGCTTGTCATGATCTGCATACTTGAAAGTCTTTGCCTGGTCAATAACGCACAGGTACACATCTTTCTGGTTTTCTCTGCTTTCAGCCAAGATCTATCCGATGTCAGCAATGATATCCCTAGTTCCATGTCCTCAACTGAATCTGACTTGAATGTTTGGCAGTTTCCTGTCAATGGATTGTTGCAGCCATTTTTTAATCATCTTACCAAAAATTTCCTTGCATGCAGTATTAATGATATTATTCAATTATTTCCTCATTCTGTTGGGTCACTTCGTTTTGGAATGGGAATAAATATGGATCTCTTTCAATCAGTTGGTCAGGTAGCTGTCCTCCAAATTTCTTGGTATAGACGAGTGAATGACTCCAATGTCACATCAATTAATTGAAAGATTTTAATTTGTATTCCACCAAATCCCAGAGCCTTGTTCTCTGCCAATGCCTTCAGTGCAGCTTGGACTTCTTGCCTTCAGTACTGTTGGCTGTTCATCACATGGCTACCTGTTGAAATGACTGAACATCCACCATCTCTTTTTGGGTACAATAACTCTGTGTATTCTTTTCATCTTTTGAAGCTTTATGCATCTTTCAGTATTTTGCCCATAAAATCCTTCACTATTACAAGTTGAGGCTTGAAGTTTTCCCTCAGTTCTTTCAACTTGAGAAATACTGAGCATGTTCTTCCCTTTTGGTTTTTCTTACTCCGGGCCTTTTCACATTTCATTATCATATTTGACTTTGTCTTCTTGAGCTGCTCTCTGAAGAGCAGCTCCTTTACCTCCTCATTGTTTCCATTTGCGTTAGCATCTCTACATTTGAGAGCAAGTTTCAGAGTCTCTTTTGATATCCATTTTGGCCTTTTCCTTCTGACTGGTTTTCTTAATGACCTTTTGCTTTCTTTCTTTTCTTCCCAAATCTACAAAGCATCTTCTCAGATCACAATGCTATGAAATTAGAAATGAACAACAGAAAGATCAAGGAAACCAAACCAAGTACATGGAAACTGAGTAACACCCCTACTTTAAAGCTACTGGGTAATAACACAAATAGCCACACAAGAAGATGATTTTTTGAAAGGATAATAAAATCGATAAACCACTGAAAAATCTAGCAAAAGAAAAGAAGATGCAAATAACACAAATTAGAAATAAGATGGGTGACATCACAACAGAGCCAATGGAAATAAAAGGATAAAAACAGTATTATGAAAAATGTTATAATAAACAATAAATTTGAAAATTTAAAATAAACAATACATTTCAAAATCTAGAAACAGAGTATCTACCTAAACTAATGCAGACCTTAGTGAAAAATTTGAGCAGACATAATTTTTAAAAAAAGAAACTGATCAGGTTATTAAAAAACTTGCCCAACCCACCCCCAAAAAGTTTTACCAGTGAATTGTATCAAATTTTCAGAGAAACTGATACCAATTCTACTAAAACTTTTTTCCAGAATATAGAAAAGGATGAAAAACCCCAAATACATTTTATGAAGTGAGTACCATCCTGATATGAGAGCAGGCAAAGACATCATTAAAACAGAAAATTGTAGAGCAATATCCCAAATGAACATTGATTCACAAATTCTCAATACAATCCAAGCCAATTGAATCCAACAACATATACAAATAATAAACACATCATGACCAAATGGGACTCATACCAGCTACACAAAGATGATTCAAACAACAGTCAGTGCAATACCCCAGACAAATAAAAGAACCACATGACCCTATGGATTGATGCAAAAAAGGCACTTGCCAAAATCCAATACCCATTTATGATAAAAACAGTCAACAAAATAGAAATAGAAGTGAAATTACATAACAAATTTAAGATTATATTTACCAACAAGTGACATTACTCTCAACAGAGAGAAACTAAATGCCTTCCCCTTGTGAACAGGAACCATACACAGATGCCCTTTACCACCACTCCTGTTCAATACTATGCTAGAAGTCTTTTTTCAGTCCCAGGTATATGGCACAAAAAGGAAACTAAACTTATTCAAATTGGTAAAGAAGAATTAAAACTCGCTATGTTCACAGATTATATGGATCCCATACATAGGAAATCCCAGACACAGCAAGAAAATTATTGGATCTCATTGAAAGAGTCAGCAAAGTGGCAGGATATCAACATGCATTAATCAACAGGTTCCTATATAAAGATAGTGCTGAAAAGGAAATCAGGAAAACAACACCATTTATAATAACCACCCAAAAGATGAAATACACAGGAATAAATCTATTCAGAGAAACAAAAGACCTATACAAAGAAAGCTACAACACACTACTATAAGAAATCAACGAGACCTATAAAAATGGAAGAATATACCATGCTCATGGATAGGAAAAAGGTCACCACTACCCAAAAATATCTATAAATATAACACAATCACAATCCAGGTTCTAACATAAGTCTTGAAAGAGAAACTAATTACTATCTTTACATGGAAAGGTAAGAGTCCCAGGATAAGCAAAGCATTACTAAACAAGAACAAAGCAGGGGGTCTCTCATTTTCCAATCTTAAAATCTACTCTATAGCCACAGCTGTGAAAACAGCCTGGTCCTGGAACAATGAAGGAAACAGAGAACAATGGAACCGAACTGAGAACCCAGAAGTAAATCCTTCTATCTACTGTCCACTCATCTTTGACAAAGGGCCAAAAAAAAATGGGATAGAGACAGCCTCTTCAACAAACGGTGCTGGCAAAACTGGAAATCCACTTGAAGAAGAATGAAAAAAGACCCGTATCTTATACCAGCTATGAACTCAAACTGCTGACCCTTGTGGTTCGAAGTCCAGTGTTTATTCTACAGTCACCGCACTCCCAGATATCATAACGTAACAACACTTAAGTGCTGTCGAGTCGATTCTGACTCACAGCAATCCTATGTAGAGTTTCCGGGGAGCAGATGGTGAGTTTGAACCACCGACTTTGCAGTTCAAACTGACCTTGAGGTCAAGTGCTTATGCTACCACACCACACCAGGTTTCCAGATATATAATACAGTAGACATCAGAATCTAGGTATTCAAAACTAAACCCAAACCTGTGGCTGTTCAGCCAACTCACGGCAAGGCCTACATTACAGAGTCCAACTACTCCATAGGGTTTTTCTTGACTATCGAATTGATAGCAGCTGACTGCCAGGTTGCTCTTCTGAGGAGTCACTGGGTAGGTTCAAACCACCAACCTCTGAGTCAGTAGTTGAGAGCAGATCATGTGCACCACCCAGGGACCTTATGTGCTCAGCATGATGGAATTAGAATAAAACCAGTGTACCTTCAACAGCTTCTGTGTGAATGAAGCTGCAAGCAAAACAGTAAGGGACAAATTGTACTCACCCCACTCCATGCATGTGTTCCACCTGAGAAAGACTGGACTCAATCACAGGAGTCAAAGCATCAAATTCTTCAAGCTGTAATGTTTTACACATATTCCAGACTTTCTTAAGAGCGAGTAAAGCGTAGAGTCGAATACTGAAATTGTGACTGAAACACCACTGCAGTACGGTGATAAGGGCCTGCTTTAGAATGAGCTTCTGAAAAGCAAAGGTCAGAGTAGGTATCAAGGCATCAGGAATTTCCTCAAGGGAAACCAAACAACAGCAAAGAACCACACCCAGCTCTTTCCGTTTTCATTGTGAGACCTGCAATATATTCCTGCCCTCCACACATTGGTGCCTTGAGTCCATTTTGACTCGTGGAGATGCCATGTGTGTAGAGGAGAGTTTTGGAATTGGATTATTACCAGGCCTGTCTTCCAACGCACCTCTTTCTGGGTCCTCTGCTAAGCTTTTGACTGCAGTCAAACATGTGCAAGTTTTGCACCAGAGGGTAAAATGAATCACTAGTCAGAAAGGATCCACTAAAAGGCAAAATGGAAGGAGAATCATTTTTTTGTGTGACTTTTTATTGTGAATCGAGTGACAGTTACAGAGTAGGTCATCAGACCTCCCTGGAGGAGAAGCAGAGAGGGAGAGAGGCACTGGATGCACAACTGAGCCAGGCACTAAATGAAGTGTACAAGAGAGAGAGTTCCATGTCTGGAAAGTTACTCGTCTGGAAGGAAAGGCAAAGGAGCCAGGGGTAGAACAGAGAAAGGACAGCTACTGAACCGTGCATGCTTAAGCATCCAATTCGATTTGAGAAGCTGAAAACCACGCATGCTCAAACAAGACAGCTGAAACACTATCAGAAGCTAATTGTACAAACAGGAGCATCCTTGAGTTTCGTGGAGCATAAACGTGCTGTCTGTGCATTCATTACGCCACCAAGTGTTCTGCACAGCGTTTTGAGTCTTCTCTGGCTTGTCCCCAGTCAGGGTCTTAGCCTACCTGGTCCCTGCTGTCATCCTTCCTGCCCTGTCCACCTCCCTTATTCTATTCTCATCACTCTGACCTGCACACCAAGGCCAGTCCACCCAGATGGCACGTGGCACGCTTACTTACCACCTTCCGGTTTCTGTTCAAGAGTCAGGTCCTTGGAAAAGCCTGCCCTGAAACCACGTTATGAGTGTGAGGAAGGGAAAGAAAGAGAAAGAGACAAAGAGAGGGAGAAAGAGAATACATTATCCCATGGAGCAGGGGACTTGTGGCAACCTAAATTCGTTACTCACCTCATTTCTATCTGCTCAGTACCAAACATAAATCCTCTATTGCTTAGCTCTGCTCATAAAAGCTTTAACCCAAAGGAATACACTTGTCTCTTCCTTCTAAACCGTGCCAAGTATCCTTTCTCACTAATCTTTCTTTCTCACCTTCACAAGTCAGCAGAGCGTCTGTGCTGTTTCAAACATGGCTTCCAGATCACTATGTGTCTACCATCATGTACAAACCCACTATCTACCATTCTAGTTTCTACTTCTTCTTGTCACGGTTATCCACCTGGTCTGGCTCTCACTCCCTAAAGACTTAGTTGTTGTCAAGTGTCATCGAGTTGGTTTCAAGTCATAGCAACCCTGTACAGTTACCCATAAGCAGCAGGTGGGTTTGACCCGATGAACGGTGGTTAGCAGTCCAGTGTTCATCCTACAGTGCCACACCAGGACTCCAGGACCTGAAGACGTTAGTGCCTGGCTGTTTCCTCCTTCCCACTACCTCTCTACTTCTAATGTTAACACCGTTTCTCTGGAGCCGCCCACATCCACAGCCATATACTAGGTCTCGTCATAACCCACCACTGTCCTCTCTCCTTATGCTCAAGTCTTAAAAGCAGATCTCCCAATTTCTGATCACACCTGTCTATAAGCTATTTCCCGGTTAGCCCATTTCTTTCCCTCATACGTCCTCTCTGATCTCAAAGCGTTTATCAGCAGTCTTTTTCCTCTATAAGCTCCTTCCCAGCAACCTTCAAACCTGCTCCCTATCACAATTACTCTCCTCATCTCAACAGCTGCTTCTGCTCCCTTCTCACTTCAGGTCCAGCTCTAAAGGTGATAGCAATACCTGCTGCCTCCATCTGCTTGCCCTTTGACTCTCATTCAGGATTCTACTATTTCCCGGCAGCAAAATTTGCCCGAGTGACACATACAGCCTCCTTGTTACTAAATACTATGAACACATGCAAAGACAAAGGCTGAATCCTATGTTCCTTGACCTTCCCAGGGCACTTGAAAAGATCTCTCTCTGTATCTTTCAGAACACCACATTCTTGTGTTGGCCTCCTAGCATTCACACTGTTCCTTCTCAACCGCTTCTGTTGGCTCCTCGTCCGTCCAAAAGTGTTGGTGTTTCTACGATGCTGTCCTTGGCTTTCTAGCTTTCTTAACCTGCATACTCTCTGTGGGTGATCTCACTCATTTCCACAGCTTCAAATATCGACTATTCAGGGTCCCCAGACTTGTGGACTACAGTTTTTATTGAGATAACTGTACATTCACATGTGTCAATAAGATGTAATACAGAACAAGGACCTAGCCACAGAGGGCTAGAGCTAAGAGTGAAGCATCTAGCTGATATGAAGCGAGGGAAGATGCACAAGAACGCCCAAACTTGCAGATAGTACCCATGTGACCTAGCTTCGATGGCTTGATGATCAGAACTCAACTAGAGGAAGATAAAGAAATTTGATAAAGGAAACAAGTATAAATTGCTACAATTTGATGAACTTGATCTATACTTATGGATGTAGTAGCTCAAAATACCAACTGAGAGGGAAGGAGTCTTCACATCAAGGATCAAACCTTACCCTCTGTACAAAGGGTTGATAGAGCTGGGCAGCTTAGACATTGGCTACCTAAAATGGGGGCGGAGTGGTCCATAAAGGCATGAAGTGGCTGGCTTACAAGTTTTCAAAAGTGAGTTTAGTTTTTAGAGTATGTGGGGGAAGGTAGAATACCCACTGAATAGTTTTCATCTTGTCTAGATGGGTCTGGTGAAAAGAGATGGGGATAAGATTCTTACGATTCAATAGTGAGTAGTTGGTATCATGACTAACTGCAACTGTCACAACTGCAAAGGTAGAAGTTTTGTAACAAAAAGTAGTAGTAGTTAATCGTACAGTCCAGGAACAGGGGACCCTAGGATCACCAAGGGAGAAGAGCATGAGTGGAATGTGGGACCTTATCCAGAGAAGTAGCGACATCAGAGATGGAGGCAGAGATGGGGACATGGAGAGAGAGAGACAGCAGCTGAGGACTCTAGACTCATGGAAAGAGAAAGGCTGAGTGCTGGTGGCCAGGAGGCAGACTTGCAAAATGTGCCCCTTGGTTGTTTATATGATTATATATTCCTGAGTGTTTCTGTGTACATCAAAAACAAAACAAAGGAAAAAAAATGTAATACAGAGTCATACCAACAATGACTAAAATTGAATGTACAGTCACACTGTACACATACAGGGGTATGTGTATATATATATATATATATATATATACACACAGGTAGGTACAGGTGTATATAGGAGAGCAAGGTATATATTATTTTAAACAAACCAATCCCAGCATAATTCTCAGTAAGGAGTAAATTCTCCCCATGGATCCTTCGCTCAAAGACACTGGTGTTGCCAAGAACCACTCACCTGGGTAGAATGCCTCCACTTAAGGCAGTCTAGAACGTTTTGCTGCTGAACGTTATATTAGTTCATTTGCTGACAAGATTTATATTCCACTAAAACGCTGTCAGAATACAAAACTGAACATTGCTAAGGAAGGATTTTTTTCTTTTCTTGTTGTTTCTATAGAACATTTAGTGCTTGGACCTCTGTTGAGTTTGGAATCTCTACCTCACTATGCAGTCCAGAGAGCACATGAAGTAACACATTCTGATGAAAATGCAAAGTCTTAAATGACTGTTTCCAAGAAATCTTCAAGCAAAAGCATGTCTATTTAAGTAACAATGGATTTTACAAATCAGAAACGGTACGACTGACCAAGTACATTAGTTGGGTCTTAGATATCTCAATTTAGTTTTTTTTCCTTTCCCCTAACCCAGATTGTGATTATTTCTACTTATCAGCATTTTTTTATGGAGCGGGTGCTCCGAAAAGGAAAACAATATACTTAAACATGTAATCCAGCATATGCATAAAAGGGCTGATTAGAAAAACAACATGGTTTTTATACCAGATCTAAAATGAATTATTTGTAGAGCTTACGTTAACTGTTTCTAAGTTGTTTCATCAAAACTGTAACACGAGTTTATGTGTTTTGCTTCTCTCAATAGAATAGAAGCAATTCTTTTTTCCTGTATGTATTTAAATAGAAAGCTTTGATAAATACTACTAGCAGTTTGTCATACTTCTTTGAATCCGAGACATTCTGATGCTGGAGCCTTCTTGATCTTCCCAGAAGGTGTCAACACAAGTTTTCACATAAGCAGGCCACTACAGCCATCTGGCTGGCACAATGTACGCACCATCACCCTGAAGATGCACCATGATTTTAGAGGTTATAATACGGGGGAAAGGAGTTCTGATGACACTAGGTTTGGCAAGGTCGGCGATTCAAACCATCAGTCACTCCACGGGAGAAAAATGAGCCTGTCTCGGGTAAAGACCTAGTGTCATGGAAACACTAGACAGGGTCAGTATGAGTCAGCATCAACTTGATGGCAGGGGTCTGTTTTTTAATGTGAGGGGAAGGGGAAGTCTGTCTTAGAAGTAACGAAACAAATTAAGAAGTAAATTATACCGTTAGCACTGTTTAATGAGTGGTGGTGGTAGTGATGAGCCGTGGAGTCGGTTCCAACTCACAGTGACCCTGTACGGGGTTTCTGAGGCTGTAAATCTTTACGGGAGCAGAAAGTCTCATCTTTCTCCCACAGAACAGCTGGTAGTTTAGAACTGTTGACCGTGAGATTAGCAGCCCAACTCATAACCACTACACTACCAGAGCTCCTTGTTTAAAGAGCAGAGCACTGAAACCTGCTAGGAAACTTTTCCCTCCTGTGTAGCACTGTCAACACTTAACAACATGTCTGACGGGAAACATTACTTTTTCTCCTGGAAATAAAGAACAGTCGTCTTTGGAGATTAATACCATTTTCTTCTGATAAATTCCCTAGTATAGACGACTAGAATCAGTTATGATTTCTGCCATGTGTGTAACCCCTAAACCTGGGAAACAGAAAAGTTGTAGGATTCACACTCCACGTGAGAGCTGTCATTTCACATCACCCTTTAATTACCAAATACTCTGAAATACACGTAATACACTTCACTAAAATTCATTACCTATCAGTCAGTCAAGAACAGGTATATATGAACAAGAGAGCCTATTTAAAGAATTCTAAGTAAATACTTTTATAAAAATTCAAAATTATTTGCATCCATAGATGTGGTGTAGTGAATCATCTAATGTCTCTTCTACCAACGGTGGTGGTTATGTGCCGTGGAGTCCATTCTGACTCAAGCGACCCTTACAGGGTTTCCGAGGCTGTAAATCTATACGGGAGCAGAAAGCCTCACCCTTCTCCCATGGAACAGCTGGTAGTTTCGAACTGCTGACCTTGAGACTAGCAGCCCAATTTGTAACCAGTGTGCTACCAGAGCTCCTTCTTCTAGCCATAATGATCCATAATTTCCACCATATACTATCTCTGCCAGGCTGATCTGGGTAAGAGAAGGCGGGAGAAGATACTGATGAGACAATAGGATTCAGCCGTGGAGTTTACCAGAGGTCACTGTAATTGTAAAATGTGAAACTCTAGCGTGAATATAAAATGAACATTCTTTTATAAGCAGAGGTGGGGAATCTCACAACTATCAAACATGAAGAGCCAGGAGTGGGACACGTCCTTTGGACCCTACACACTGAACCTCATCAACCCAGGGACAGAAAGTTGTGACACTGGAGGAGGGGCCGAAGAGCAGCAGCAGCAGAGCCTAGAACTAGTGCAGCAGAGAGAAGCGGCTTCCCAGCCAGGCCACAGAGCAAGTCCAGCTGAGTGACGCTGGGCAGGAAGCGTTCTTGTAGAGTGGGATGTCTCCAGGTACTTAGGTGGAGGAACTAGGTCTGCAGACAGACACAGATAGGGCTGAGTGCCTTCAGGATAAAGCTTATGGGGGAGTGGTGTGTCCTGAGGGCATTCACCAGCAGCTGATCCTGAATTGTAACCTGTAAATGTTTCTAATAAACTCCATAACTCTACCTGAGTTCTGTGAGGCCCAGATGAATGGAGAGACCCTTGGGAGGTATGGTTGGTGACACACATTGTTGAATGATAGAAAATGCCCACTAACTTGTACATATAAATTTAATATGTACTGAGGCATCATTTGAGCGTTGGTGTGGAGCTATAAGGTAAGCACAGGACTGCTAACCTTAAGGTCAGTGAGTCAAACCTACCAGTTGCTCTTGGAAACTATATAGGGTCCTATTGGCTAGAACTGACTTTAGGGCCTAAAACAACAATAGGCATAATTCATTGTTTATGTGGTTGTACACTCTGGTAGCGTAGTGGTTACGAATCGGGCTGCGAACCTTAAGGTCAGCGGTTTGAAACTACCAGCTGCTCCGCGGGAGAAAGATGAGGCTTTCTACTCCTGTAAAGATTTACACCCTCGGAAACCCTGTACAGGGTCGCTATGGGTCGGAACCGACTCGACGGCACTTAACAACAACAACAACAATGCATATATTTTCTTACTGTGTGTTTTGGTCTAGGTATGTGTGCACATTAGGGGAAAAACTAAAGGGAAGACGAGAAACTGTAAAAAAAATATATGAATAAAAACAATTCACTACATTAAAAAAAACAAAAACTAGTACAAATAGAAAAAATACAATTTCTAAAATTAAGTTTAAACTCTCTTTAAAAACAAGTTCTCCCTAGGACCATCAAGAAGGAAGAGCATGAACAGAACATGGAACCTTATCCAGAGAAGCAGCAACACCAAAGATGGAGGCAGAGATGGGACATGGAGAGAGAGAGAGAGCAGCTTAGGTCTCTAGACTCATGTAAAAAGAAAGGCTGTGTGCTGGCGGGCAGGAGGCAGGCTTGCAGAATGTGCCCTTTGATTGTTTAAATGGTTATATATTACTGGGTGTTTTTGTGTACGTCAAAAAATAACAACAACAACAACAACACAGGGAATAGAAGCAAATACTGTTGAATGATGATGCATGGAGAGGTCTGTAATTGCAATGTAAAACCGATGTTCTCCCTTGTAAATGATCACTCAATCCACAATCAAAACTTTCAAAACAAAACCAAACAAATAACAACAACAAAAGCAAAACAAACTCGCCTCACCTTTTCTGGAATATTCTGAATAATGACGTCCAAATGCGCCAAAACTGATAAAAATGTACAAAAGCTTGTTTTAAATTTTTCTTCACCCTGGGGGGGGAAAAAAAAAAACAGCAAACAATAATCTAAGCAGCTGCTTCTGAGCATGAAATCTAAAGGCTTTTTGCCTGAGAACAATTCCAGCCAGGGGGAGCTTAGCTCCATCTGGGGCCTCAGTTTAAGTGCTGAGATGCTAATTCTCTCAAGTACTTTGGGCACTTGTTGTTGTTGTTAAGTGCCGTCGAGTCGGTTCCGACCCATAGCGACCCT